GAGACCAACTTCCCGTCACTTTTATTACAGTAGATTGTGATAATTGTTTTATTTTACTATCAGTTATTGTTGTTCATGTCTTCCTGGGCCTAAGTTATAAGCTGAATTTTATCAGAGGGATGTATGTCTAGGAAGGAACATATGCAGGGTTCAGTGCTATTTTATGTCCCCACTGGGGGTCTCGGAGTGTCTTCCCGTGGACGAGGGGCGATGACGGTAATGAAGCCTCCGTCAAACCCCACAAGACAGGCTAGGGGCCACGTGCCGGGAATGTGGGCGCTCGGGGACAGAGCGTGCCTGCTGCGTGCCCCCCTCACATGCCTCGCGCCACATCTCCTGTCTGGCTCTTCCCGAGTCATATAATTTTACAGGACACTGGGACTCCAGTAAGTAACATGTCTGAGTTCTGCGAGCCACTCTCACGAGTTAATTGAACCTGAGCGGGAGGCTGTGGGAGCTTGAACTGCTGGCCAGCTGGTCAGAAGTGCCGTTAAGGGCCTGGGTGCAGATTCGGGAGATGGTGGTTGAGGGATGAATTTACAACTCGTAGATAAACAAGTTCTTGGGATCTTAAAAACAACAACAGAACCACCCACAAAATTAGCGTATTACAGCGCGAAGCCCACTGGGCCGGGTGTGCTTTGGGCTTTGCTCCCCCTGAGTCCGGGTGGTCTCAGGGGACTCGGACAGGCCCTCTCTGAGCTTCAGCGTTCTCGTCTCTATAACAGGGTGGACTGTCAGGCATCACAGGGATCCCAGAGAACATCGACGCCACGAGACTCCGTCCGACCCTAGGTGTCTCCGGAGAAAACAAAAACTCTTCCTGATCAGTCAGGGGAGCGTTTTCGTCAGCACGTTTTAGTAGGTTTCTGTTTCTGCTCTCTGCCCTGCTCTTAAAAGGGGTCCGGGCCTACAGAAATGACGGCACTGTGCTGCCTCGGCTCACAAACCCCTTTTCCCTCGCGGTTTCTGCAGAAATTACTGATGCTTATTCTTTTGCCTGTCTTGCTACCACAAAGTGGGCTGGAGGGCTCCCGAAGGCCACGTATGGAGGCAGAGCCGCTGGGCCCCTTATGTCACTGAGCCCCTCTCTGTGCTTATTTAAGGAGCATCTCTTCAGGGCGCCTTGGTGCAGCAGGAGGGAAGCACAGCCCGGTGATTCCCACGTCCGACCCTGACCACACCACCTCTGTCCTTCTGCTGACGAGTTACAGATGGCTGTCTGTGTTTTTCTCTGCAGGGCTGCTCTGACAAGGAGTCCATCCTGCCCATCGTGCAGGTCCTCGGAGATCTGCTTTCTGTTGGTGAGTAGGCCAGGCCCTCCTCGCTCGTGATGGACGTGGGGTCGTGTGACTCTGGTAGCGCCCAAGAATCCGTGTGGCCTGGAGGGTTGCCCCAGCCCACGCTTTCTTTGAGGCATGATCATCAGCCCGTCTTTTT